TAGAATTTTTCTCAAAAAATGTTTCCATTTCCTTTGATACAAATTGAGGTCCATTGTCTGTCACAATTTCACTTGGTATTCCATATCGACTAAACCAAGATCTCAATCGTTGAATGATTGTTGAAGAGTTTGTTGTCTTGAGACAGTCCACATCTGCCCACTTTGACAAAGCATCAATACCTACCAACCACATAGATCCGTTGACTGGCCCTGCCAGATCAATGTGTACCCTTTCCCAAACTCTATCAGGTACATTCCAAGGATATAATGGTACTTCTTCCACATTATCTCGATTCTCTTGACAAGATGTGCACCTTTTGATATAAACTTCGATATCTTTATCCATGTTGGGCCACCATACATAGTGTCGTGCTACAGACCTCATTGATACAATACCAGGATGTCCTGTGTGCAATATCTTCTCATGCATTCTGGAACTACAATTCTTCCAAACCACAATAATATGTCATCTTCAACACTCAATTCATCTTTCCTCTGTTTGTATGACTTCAACATTTCAGGAACAACAGGGGGCCATGTATTTCTCAATACAAAGTTTTTTGCCATTTTAATTGCTTTATCTGTAAATGAATTTTGTTTCAAGAGGTCATAAGACATGATAGAGTTAACCTTATCAACATTCAAAAAACCAATGTGAGCCTCCTCAGGTTGATCTTCTTCAATCGGAAGTCTTGATAGAACATCAGCACACACATTATCTTCCCCTTTTCTGTACTCTATGTCATAGTTGTATTGATTCAACTGGAGAGCCCACCTCACTAAACGGCTATTTACAACTTTTGGGAGATCTCGCATATTTCCAAATATCCGTTGTAGAGGTTTGTGGTCGGTTACTAAAGTAAACTTCCGACCATATACATATTGATGAAATTTCCTGAGCCCAAACATAATAGCTAGCGCTTCTCTGTCGATATTTGAATATTGTTTTTCAGCGGGCAATAGTGTACGACTGGCAAAAGCAATTGGTCTTTCTAGTCCACCTTCATATCTGTGCATTAGTACACTTCCCAATCCATTTTCTGATGCATCACAGACCATTACCAATGGTCTCATTTCTTCGTATGGCACTACTGTGTCTTTACTTGATAGAATTTCTTTTACTCTTTTAAATGTCCCCTCTTCTTGTTCGGACCATTTCCATTGTGATTTAGTCCCAGTCAGCTTATGGAGATCACTGCAAATGGCATGAAGTCCCGGAATAAATCGTTCATAGTAGTTAATAGAACCTAAAAATGATCGGAGTTCCTTGACATTAGTAGGTGACCGTGCTTCTCGAATGGCTTTTATTTTTTCTTCAGTAGGATGTATTCCATTCCGGTCGATTGTATGTCCCAAGTAAGTCACTGACTCTTCAAAAAATTTGCATTTACTAGACTTTGCTTTTATACCAGCTTCTTTCATTCGTTTCAAAACCTCTCTCAAATTTCGTAAATGCTCGTTCTTATTCCTTCCAGTTATTATAATATCGTCCAGAAGAACTCCAACCTGTGGTATCCCAGCTAAGAGTCTTTCCATATATCTTTGGAAAATACCTGGACTAGATGATATCCCAAAAGGTAAACGTTTGTATTTATAGTAACCACTATGCGTTGCTATTACTAAATACTTTCGGTGTTCTTCTGCAACCTCCATTTGTAGGTATGCATCTCGTAGGTCTATCTTAGAAAACTCTTGTCCGCCTGCAACTTTGTTTGTTAGTTCCTCAAATGTCGGAATAATTGCATTTTCTGGGACCAAATTTTGATTCAAAGTGACTCGGAAATCTCCACAAATTCTTATTGAACCATCATTCTTCTCTACATTAACCGTTGGGGCAGCCCAGGGAATAGGTGTAGCAGCAGGATCTACCTCTTCAATGATATCCTCATTTACAAGTCTTGTAAGTTCATTCTCAATTCGTTTTTTCAAGGGAAACGGAACCCTGCGCGCTGAAAAATGTTGAGGGTTTGCATCTTCTCGAACGTGAATTCGTGCTTTATAACCCTTGATTTTCCCATGCCCTTCAGAGAACACATCTTCAAATTCTTTTAGTACTTCCTTAACCCTCACATCATCCATCTTATATTGATTATGATTCTGCTTACATTTTACTTTACTAATAGTAACATCAGGAGGGAGGTTCATATTAAAGGCTAATATCCATGGTAAACCAAACAGCGGTTTCTCATTTCCATTTACTACTGCTACTTTTAATCTACGTGTCTCATCACCTACTGAAACATTGACATAACATTCACCAAGTATATCTAAAATATTGTTTCCATATGCCACGTATTTTGAATTGGTCTTATCAAGTCTTGGTGAACCAATTTTCTCCCAAAGAGGCTTACCTATCATTGAGGCCCAAGCTCCAGAGTCGAATTCAATGTTTGTAGCTACCTTATTTAACTTTAAATGAATACGTGCTTTACAAATATGTCTTCTTTCCTTTTTAACATCGTTTATCCTCATGTCATGTGAGTCCGATTCAGATTCTTCATCTTCTGACTTTTCATGCAAATTATTCACTCGTTTTTGCCGACATACCTTTGCAAAATGTCCTATTTTTGTACAATTCAAACACTTTTGTTGACAGGCTGGACATTTACCAAATTCATGCTTTGTTCCACATCTACTACATGGATGATTTGTCTTTTCATTGTATTTCACTTCTCTTTTAAACTTCTTATTGTTTCTTCTTACTTGTGATACTTCCAACTCTTTATCATTATTCTTGAATATCTCATGACGAGCTCTTTCCATTGAAGTGGCCAGTTCAAAAACATCTTCAGATGTTAACTTGTCACCATTTTCTTTTACCCCATCAGGCCATCGTTGTCTAATTTCTACTTCAAACTCTGGAAAATTTATACCTCCAGCAAATCTATCTCTTATTCTTTCATCAAACTTGTTCTCATACTTACAAAAATCTGCTAAATTTTTCAAACGTATTACAAATTCTGAAAGACTTTCACTACTTTCTCTGATACTTTTTTCAAATTCCATTCTAGCTGAAAATATAGTTTTACTAGCTCTGTATACTGACCTGAAACCATTAACTAGTTCTGCCCACGTAGCCTGATGTACTTTTAAAGGCAGCAGAAAGTTTTAAACTTTTCTTAATGGTGCAGGACCCACATAGGCAAGCAAAAGATCCCTTCGAGCATCCTCTGCTCTCTGAGAATCTTCTCCCAATCCTTTTACCTTGCATAACAATAGAAAGTGTGCTTCATAATCATCCCACCTACTAGACTCATCATAGCTTTGACATTTAAACTTCTCTATCTTTGATTGTAATGCGTCTTCTATAGTTTCATACTTATCTTCTTCATTGAAATAACTATTTCTTCTTTTGGTTCGTTTACTCATCGTCGCCAATGTAGAATTACACTAAATGATATTCAAAATATAAAAGAACCATTTTATTGAATTCTTAAACACATCAACCTAAGCAGAATATTTACTAACAAACTTAATAATAATAAATCAGCTGATGTATTAATTACTTATATATTTAACTATCTAACAGTGATTTCTTTTAAATAGCACTAATAAAAGGATGAAATACCACAATCCATGTAGCCTTGAGACCCGAAGAAAACCCCCCACTTCCTTAGTTGAAAATGCTCAGTGACAGTGAAATATTCCCATTTTTTGTTTCTAGTGCCATAATTCAGATAAGCCTGCTATATTCAAAAAAAAATCCTAAAAACATAGGCCATTGTGCTCTATGTTACATCACACATTAACTACTGGTCGGATTGGGCTCAAATTTGGCATGATGTTAGTTTAAATTGCCCATTCTTATCTCAAAACCCTTTTGGGCTCCGCCCCAGTGCCTCTGGGGGTTGCCCATCTTTACCCTATGGGTATTCATATCTAAAAAGAATAAATGAATCTAGATCTAGATACTGACAACACAGAACAAAAGCAAGAAAGCAGTTTTAATGAAACTCCTGGAATGGTAGCACAATACCAACATTACATTGTTACATATGATTTCACAACAACAAAAACAAAACAAACAATTTTTACGTGTTCGTGAAGTGGCAGAGCGACTATAATAGTCACAGTCGTAAAACAAGTTTTATTCACTAAAATAATGAATCTTCTTGCAAAATTAATGTCGATCATTATATTAATAGAATAATGTAGTTGCTGTGACTGGGATACACATGATAAACTGTTGGGATGATTTACGTTTCGTTTGGAAATATCTGAAGACCCAGACCCACCTTTTAAGGGTTTCAAGCTAGGGGTCAGAATTATATACTCTCGAGATGACAAGATAAACCTTTATACTTTTAATACTTTTCAATTAAATTATAGCCTAGCGTTTTGAGCTTTGACCCATTTAAATTATAATTAACTGCTAAATTGTATTGCTAATAATTCACTTATGGATTCTGATAAGTTTACCAGGTACCAAATAGTAAAACGTTATACGATAGGCCGAGGTAGCAAGATTCGAGTTTGGTTTATAAAACACAGTAGCCTAAATACTGAATCTCTTCTAATAAATCAGACAATGACATAGGTAATACTAAATTAATTAATTTGATCTTAAATGAACATTCTTTCGTAAGTAATACAACTTTGTCCCTAATTGACAACATGCCAGTTTGTTTGTTTTGATTTAACCTCAAAGATTGAAATGTGAACTTTTAACACATGATCACACTGACTACAGCCAAAAAGGTTCATCCTCAAAGATATTCCAACATACCTCAACCGCTTATAGCTAAAAAATCCAACTGTAGGCCTACATATTTTGGGTCGAGTTTCGACCACTGGACGACCTCTAGTTTTATATAAAACACTATAAAATATTATTTTTTTTATATTTACCTCTATAACTATATATATTCATGTAGGAAAATAAATTTACTCTCATTTTATATAGTTGGTCTGTTGGTTTTATGTGTTTGAAAAATAATATACATGTAGAAATAACAAAATGTTTTCTAGAAAAATATAAACATTTATAAAAGTCATAAATATTTATTGTAATGATAATTTTCCATGAACAACTCTTACTTCATTTGATCTCCCATGCTATTGCCTTTACAAAAATGTCTACTTTTACTACATGTCTTGATAACACATTTATTTTGTTTTTGTTTGCAAAATTGTGAAACTTACCATTTTATTGTTTTTGGGTCATAACTTTGTAAAAATAAATGGTAATTGCAATTTTTTACATTTCCATGTAGGTAAATGAATTCCAAACATTTTGTATATCTTGAATTTTACATGAAAAATTTTTGGTTCATGCAGCAAAGTTTACTTTCAAAGTTCTAATTTTTTATACCTAATGTCAATATTTACTGTTCTAAATATTTATTCTTTTGCCATTTTCAAATTCTTCATTTCATTGCGATCAATTCAAGTATACGGTTCAATAGTTTTGCTCTGTTGGTTTAGTTTATATGACTTTTCGAAAATATGACTGCAAAATTGCCAAAAATGCATTGCCACTACAGAGTTTGTCCATTGCCAGTTGGAGGGTTAAGATAGGAGTTACAAGCAGAGAATAAATAATTGTAAAGTAGTTTGAAGAGTGGTTAATTTACCAAACAACCGTCAAGATTTAATTAATTTTTTACTCCAGTACAAAAAGATGAAGAAAACTATAAAAACAAAAGAAAGACTGCTTTATTGTAATAAAAAAATTTTACAAATAAATTGACTATTAAACTAGATTAAACCTTTTCAAGAAAAAGGTTAGGGTAGAAGCGAAGGCCTTCTATGGTATCGTCTCTGCAGGCTTTGCCAGCTTTCTCAGTAGCCAGAAGTCTTTCTTTGGCCAAAACAACAGAGATTCCGAGTTCTTGAGCAAGTTGTTCAGCACTGATGGAGCCCAAGTCTCGGATCTGAGCAAAACATTCATAAAAAAATATATATATATATAAAACTTACAATAAAATCTTTTACACAGTAAGAAATACTACAGAGGTCAAATAATTTATATGGGAAATTGTGATTTTAAATACTCAATGAAAAAGTAGTCTTATGGAAAAGTTAAAACAAAAGAGAAACCCAAATTGTCAATACTGAAACAGTCTATACTCTATAGTTAGGTAGGTATTATACAATCATACCACATTCAAGACTTTAAACTTTCCACTCAATCTCTAGAAAATTATCAATAGATATTTGATATTATATGGAGAAAAAGCCAGAAACACTGCATTCTTTTCAAACTGTGGAAGCAATATTATGAGTACATCCAGACAATAGTAATATTGTAGACTTCCAGTGCCATAACTAACTATTGTCGATAATGCCGCCTTAAGTTTACTAATCTAGAAAAGTAGGTATGGGCTATTAAAGGGCTTATTTGTATAGAGGAGGAAGTAGGCTTATTCCAAGGCGTAAAAATGAAGGTGTGTGCATAGTGACGTCACTGCGAGCTGAACGTGTTTTATTTGACCAAATCATATGTTTTCTTGTAATTTCCCAAAGACTTTCGAATGACAATCATTATGAATTAGCATTGAATATATTACACTATTTAGCGTTTTACATCTAATATAGTGTTGTATTCAATATTGAATATAGTCATAGTTTTATACAGTATATTCAATGGTGGTAGTATATAAACATTTTGATAGTGAGTACCTTTTAATCGAAAAACAGTAAAGCAGTAAATACTGTAACTGTGACTGCCTAACAGGCAATATATTTATTAATATAGTATATTTTAATAATATCATTTTAAAACTATTTGTATATGGTCACCTAAAAATATATTGCCTGGTAGGCAGCCACAGTTACAGTATTTACTGCTTTACTGTTTTTCGATTAAAAGGTACTCACTATCAAAATGTTATATACTAATACTACCACCATTGAATATACTGTATAACACTTTGACTATATTCAATAATATTGAATACAACACTATATTGGATGTAAAACGTTAAATAGTGTTATATATTCAATGCTAATTCATAATGATTGTCATTCGAAAGTCTTTGGGAAATTACAAGAAAACATATGTTTTGGTAAAATAAAACACTTTCAGCTCGCACGTGACGTCACTATGCACACACCTTCTTTTATACGCCTTGGGCCTATTCTGCTATCTGGGATTTGATCAGAAAAGCTTTTTAACCAGGATTTAATCCATCATCAGACTATCAATTAACACGTTCACTGCGGCCCATTGTCGAAATTTTGGTCTGATGAATATCAAATAACATGCGGTGATGTACTACATTACGACGATAATCGACATAGTTCGCTTAAATACCCACAGATAGCTGCACTGCTTGGAACGTAGCCGGTCCCATTGTATTGCCAATTGGAGGGAGAAAGACGGGACAACAAGTTGATTTCTAAGCTTGCCAGACGGGGACTTTACGGGAAAATTTGCTACCAACCTACACCACAACAAAACGCAAGTCACACACAACGCGAGACTAAAGTGTACAAGCAACGAAGCAACGCTGACAGAGAAATGAAAACATACGGAAGGCATTGCCGAGCCTTCTTGATCGGGTACAGATGCACCCGACGGGCGCCGAGCACCGTACCCGGTTGGGAACGGCCGCATATTACGTGTTAATGATGCTATCTAACAAAAGTTCGGCAATAGATCGTATTCCCTTAAAAATAAAAAATACCCCCGCCGCAGCAAACCTGCAGACTAAGCGAATTTCCATTTGCCTGATTGGATTTACACTAAAATGTCTCCTTAAAAATATCACATTTATCCCTATTTAAATAGAATCATTTTAACACATACTTAGGTTTGCTGCAACAGGGAGGGTAAAAGTGTTTTTTTTATGTAAAATGTTAATAGTTAGTAAGAAATTAAAACATTTTCCAAATTTGATCAAAATATGTTAATAAACAAGCAAACTACAACAGTTTACTTATTCTCCTTAAGAATAACATGGGAATTTTAAATTAACAATTTCTCCGTTACCATTAGGCGCATTATAACGCTTCAATATACTAAATTATTTATTTTTTTAAGCTCTACAAAATAGTTTGGAAAGAAATTACAAAATTTTATGTTTTTTGGGTCAAAAATTGGAAAAACCCATTTTTACCACATAAAAGCCCCCATAAACCCCCGTTCCCATGGTCCGATCATGCTGGTTCGCGAACTCGTTCGAATAAACGTAGGTTTACACGTTTGTACCAAATTTCATCAAAATCGGATCATTTTTGCTCGAGTTATCGCGCTAACGGACACATATATATATATATATATAAATATATATATATATATATACTAGCTGTTGTACCCGTGCTTTGCAACGGGAAGAGGACACAAAATAGAAACATTTTGATCTTTAAAAAGTATTCTATAATGAAGTATTATATTAAAATTATTAATAGTACTACTGCACCCTGTTGGTAAACCTTATAACTTGTTAATGCTATTTAATATCATAGAACCAACTTGTGTATTTGAAACAGGTGACAAAATTCTTTTATTTATTTTGGCTCAATCACGTCCTGGTTGAAGTTCGTTCGCTACGCTCACTCACCTTTAGGTTGGAGCTCGTTCGCTGCGCTCACTTTCCTTCAGGTTAGCTCGTTCGCTACGCTCACTTGCCTTCAGGTTAGCTCGTTCGCTACGCTCACTCGCCTCCAGGTTGCAAATTAGCTGTTGTCATAAATGTAAAAGAAATAATAGTGCTAGTGCTGCACCCTGTTGGTAATCCTTGTAACTTTAATGCTATTGAACATCACAGAACAGAACCAACTTGTTTAATTGAAACAGCTGTTAAGATTCAATAATTTCATTTCTCATGTAAACAAAGCAACATTCTTCCAGAAATTCCACGTCAAAAATCGACAAAAACTTGATTTTCAAGGGTTTACTGTTAAATATCTAACTGTCTCATATTCGATGAAATACGTCTAAAACCATCTCATATATGTATAGTATTTGGAAAATAAGTTTCAGGCGGGACAGTGCTATAGTTATTGAGGAGTAGTTGTAATAAAGTGCGTATTTTAGCGTTACCAAGAGAATGACAGACAGACAGACAGACAGACAGACAGACAGACAGACAGAAATTGAGATAAGGTTTGATTCGGTTTCTCTGACCTATGAAATGTAAAAATAACCAAAAAGTTCATTATTCTAAGCAATGTACAGACAAAACTCTAATTTTATTTATATAGATATATATATATATATACATATATATATATGAATTTGAACGGATGGTGTTTTTGGCCTCTAGGGACCTCAAAACGAAAAAAAAAATCGGTCCCGGGTCCAGGTCTTACCATGAGTACTACGGTAATAGCTTATTCCCTATATGGGAAATTCGCTAAAACATAAACAATGCAAATGGCGTTAGTTTTTATTTACAATTTACATGCAAAACACAAAAGTAAATACCCCCGCCGCAGCAAACCTCCAGACTAAGCGAATTTCCATTTACCTGGCTGGATTTCTACTAAAATATGTACCCTGAAAATTGTCAGATTTATTTCCTATTTAAATAACATTTTTAATGAGTACCTAGGTTTGCTGCTACAGGGAAGGTATTGAGGTGTGATTTTTATTGAAATGTTGATAGCTTAGTATGAAATAAACAAAATTGCCAAATTTGATTAAAATATATCTATAAACAAGCAAACTACAACAGTTGATTTATTCTCCATAAGAATAACATTGGAATTTTAAATTTAAAGATTTTTTAATTATCTCCGTAACCATTAGGCATACAACAACGCTTCAATATACAATATTATTTCTTTTTTTAAGCTCTACAAAATGGTTTGGAAAGAAATTTTGAAATTTTATACGTTTTTAGAGTCAAAAATGGGAAAAACCTATTTTTACCCCATAAAACCCCCCATAAACCCCCGTTCCCATAGTCCGATCATGCTGGTTCGCGAACTCGTTAGAATAAACGTAGGTTTACACGTTTATAGCAAATTTCATTAAAATCGGATCATTTTTGCTCAAGTTATCGCGCTAACGGACACATATATATATATATATATATACATAAATATATATAATATATATATAAATATATATATATATATATAAATATATATACACGGCCCCGCCCGGGAAGTCAGTCACATAAAATATACACTGGAAGTCAGTCAGTTGCACCCCCCAATATATTATACTTTATACTTTTCTTTGAAATGGCGACCATACAAATGTAGGTATTTTAAGCCAAGTATGAATGGAGATGAGTGTGGGATGAGTGGCGCGATCTTGTAGTCTTGTTAGTGACTAAGGCCGACATAATCCTTAGACACAGCTGTTAATTAATAGCCCATACAGCTAATGGCAACTAAGGGACCTACAGTTTATAGTGGAATCCGAACCACTTTTTGCCATGGTATATACGAATTGGTCTAATTATCAGGATATTACTGCGGATAGTCGTATTACTCACTCGTGCGGACGTTAATCCACACCAGGGAGTATCGCATCCACAGTGCATGCCTATAAATATCCACAATTCGTGACCTCCTAGTAGCTGGATTACAGGACGACGCCACCCGTCCCAGTCAAGACTATGATATATAATTTATATGATATATATTGGCAAATATATTAAGCTTATAGACATTTCTGAACGTATATATCTCTTTTTTTCTTAAAAATACAAAAATATAATTACGTAAAAACTGCTATGCTAAGGCAGTCACCACCGCATTTGCATGGGAAAGCCAGTCACGTAAAATTTGTGCTGCTAAGCCAGTCACTATATTTTACCGCATACCACTGGAATCCAGTCATTGAAAATCCACACGGGTATCCAGTCACTTCAGTCACTTAGACCCCTGCCCTTCTACTTTGTAATATTTATTTTTGTTCTACAAGCTTGAAAATCAGCACCTCGACCAAACGGATTATACTTCAGGCATTGAGCAC